ACCATGGGTGTTACAAAGTTGACTAAACCATCCAAAATTCAATGAAAGTGCAGATCAGCAATTTCATATGTTCAAATGTCTACTGTGAAGGATATCATAAAGCCTTAATGAAATCAAATGTAAAACTAAAAAGTTATGATTGATGAAAGTAGAGAATCGGTCAGATTTGACCCGAAGACAACAGGAGGGTTAATGTCATTATAAGACTATTTAGTTATGAACACGTCAAATACCAACCTTTACGATACTTAGGTTCCATAGCACAAATAACAATATCATATCATATATCATAATTATTTAAACAAAAGCAGAGTAAAGCGCTTCATTAGAACAAAATACAGTAAAACATGGACAATGATACTAGAAAGAAAAATGGAAAGTTAACCCAAATGAAAAGCCATATTAAAAAGATGGCTTTTAAATGAGCTTTTAAACATTTCAAGGGAGTTTGCTGTTCTAAGATCCACGCAAAATCAGATCACTTCGTCCACCATCTGTAAATAAAGAGATCTGAACGTACTTTTGCCGATTTTACGTCGTTGCTCTTCCCTCGTAGTTTCAGCCATATCTGCCCGCTGTTGTCCATCATTAAATCGTCCGCTCCGATCCCAAACGTCACCCTGAAGATCCGCTCCACGGTGCCGTGCAGCGAGGCCAGAGATCCACGAAGCATCCCGGCACACGCAAACTCATCCTCCACCTCTGCTTCTCCACCTTCACCTCCATCACTCCGCTCACAGTCCATGGCTTGGTCTCAAATAAGCTTCAAAGTTTCCAACATACTGCAAAACATGAATCAAACACAGCTAATGTGAACACAAGAGGGGAAAACTAAGGCTGTATGACTGCTATATTTCTTAATGTTTACCAGGAATAAAGCACAACAGCATACATTTTATGAAAGTGTGCTATAAGTTGACCTACTTTCTTACTTTTTGTCTGCAGTTTTGCCCTTTTTGTTACCTGTTCCTCGTTGATTTACTCAAATATGTAGTCTTGTGTTGCATTATGTTGTGTTAGAACTCAATAATTGCCCTAGTTTTAGTCATATTTATCCGTCGTTGTTTATTTCTGGCTATTACTATTCTTTTAACGTGTTAAAATACTGATGTCAATAATCATAATTAACAACCATAGCATACTGTTAAAGATTCTTCGTATTATCCAGGACCACTCTTGTGTTTCAGCATTAGATAATACAGACGTTATTTTTCAGTTTGGTTTCGCCTACTCATGAAGTGGTATGCAAATGTGTTGTTTATGTTTTACTTAAGTGCAAACATTGTATTATGTACTGTGTCTGGCCCCATATTGAACCTCTAATATTTACCAAGCCAAGTTGCTAAGCTGCTGGTTGTCCAAACAAACAATAGCACTGCTTTAAGTGTAACTTTACTCGTCAAAATAAGGCAGTGGAGTAAAAAATACACTATATTTAAGAAGCATAACACGAGTACTTTTCCGTCGCTTTGCCCTGATGTGAATACCTTTAAGACATGTAAACATACTTGCAGTGTCTCTCCACTCATAGCTTATTACAGTATGAGTGATGTCAAAATAAATATATTTACTCAAGTACTTAGTACAATTTTGAGGGACTTTAATCTAATATGTTTGCCAATTTGTACTTCTACTCCACTCAAGCGGTAAATCTGTGTACTTTGACTCCACTACATGTATTTAATACCTTTAGTTACTTTACAGATGTGGATGAATGATGTGAAATATAATCAAGTGTTAAATCAGACTTTAGTTCCAGCTGGAGTAAATTCACAAGCTACCCTGCAGTATACAAAGTCATTACAACTAGCTGCACCTTTACCAGCTTTGAGACATTCATTATTCTGAAATGGACCAATCTTCACAATGACTACTTTTACTTTTGGTACTTTAACTATATTTTGATGATAATACTTTTGGACTTTTACTTGAGTGACATTTTGAATGCAGGGCTTTCACTGTAACGGAGTATTACTACACTCTGGTAAGGCAAGGCAAGTTTATTTATATAGCACATTTCAACACAAGGCAATTCAAAGTGCTTTACAAAAATGATAGACATTACGAGCATTAAGAAACATATTATGAAATGACATTTAAAAACACTCATTTAAAAGCAATGGTATAAAATGGTACTTCTACTTTTACTCAAGTACAAGATCTGAGTACTTTCCACCTCTGCCTTTAAACCATGTAAACAAGAGTGTGTGTTTTTATTAATATATCTTGTTTGCCTGCTGCTATTTTTCAACCACACTCGATTAACAGAAAACACAGAGAAATGGTGTAACGAGCGTAAAGAAACCAAACATGGCCCGGTAAAATGGAGTGTTTTGACGCACGTATGCTCATAAAAACACGTGTTTCAGCAGAGACAGAGTAAGAAAGCAGATCGAAGACATGTTATGGTTTTAAAAGAGAATTTAAATGTAACAAATATGACATTTTTCCGTGTTGTTTTCTTACGTGAGCTCGATCCTTCCTCCCGAGTTTCGTTTCCAGCTGCTGTGTTGGAGGCGGTTCATAAAAACAACAACATACGTATCGGAGCGAAGTTCACTGCGCGTACAATAAAGCCAGATGATCGCAGAGGAAGCAGAGAAAAGGGGGATTGTGGAAATAAAATGACGGAAGAAACACCGGATGAGGAAGCCTCAGAAAAACCCCGAAGACAAACCGAAACCAAACGAAACAACAGCTCATCTGATCCAGTGCGGTTCTTCTGAACTGAGACGAAATAAAGTCGCTGTAACACCAACGTGATATTTCCCAACAATCACACACATTCAAAATGCACCTGCGGACAATTTTACCGTGTTAAAATGTCTATAAATCCCGCAAAATCACACATATTTCCTTACTGGTAGCTTCATCTGCATTTATTTTACATATGAGTTTTGTTATCGCTCATAAAACGTTTAAAAGTGTCATTTTATTATAGAAAATGTTATGTTGCACTGGGTTAAAGTGGGGATTTCCACTGACGTCAGAAGCGGGGGTTTTCTGACTTTATTTTTGTTTAACCCTTGGTTGACTCAATAACAGAGGAGCTTTGTTAAAAAGAGACTTTACGTTACATTGACATTGACGTTTTTGTCTGGATATGTCCTTATTCAGTAGATTAAAAACAAATGTTATCTTGTAACTTTCATCTTTTTACTTCCTTAGTCGTCTGTGTAAAAGGCAGGAAGTGGTTTGTCCCCTCCTACACCCGGGCATTACTGTCAATGTAACATTTAGCATTTCAATTGTAATATTTACTCTTTTTTTTCAACATTGTCATTATCAGGCTTCTTTACCATTTGTTTATTTAATGTTATCCTATTTAATTTAATTTTTAAATATTTAATATTTTACTCTCATCATTGTTGTGTCCTGCAAAATTGTGTTTATTTAAATGTTGTGAGGAATTTGCACTCAAGGATCAATAAAGTGCTGTCCTAATCTATACATAATTGATTTCCCTATTATGTATTATGAATCTGAAGCTGCAAACTACTTAAAATTACCAAATAATACAGTAAAGAGTACAGTAAAGGTCACATGAGACTGTAGTGTCATGTGACCTTATTGCAGAGCAGGTGATTCTATTGCGTCACGTATTCCAGGTAATTGTCAGTGGTTTTAATAAACCCTACCCATTTACTGTAAACCATTTTTTTTTTTTTTTAGACTCTGCCCTCTGCTGGTGAAACCTAAAACCATTTCAGGTACTCAAAATATTTTTAAAATCATTTTAGTGAAACAATAAGTCATTTTAAACATGATTTTTAACTACAATTTGATCATGGTGCCTAAATAATCAGATTTCTCATACCTTTCAGATATTTAAACTGTAACTACACCAACATGTGTTACAACCAAGCTCACTCAATCAAAAAAAATGTCGTAAATAAAAAATATTACACTCACAGGGTTAATAAACCGTCACCACACGTGCATGTTTGCAGAGCAGAGCAGAAGTAGAAGTGACTTTCACTTCTGGATTTTTCTCATGTTGAAGAGCTGCTGCTGACAGAAAAGAGTCTCTTAATGAACGACTGGACTTTCACACTCACTCAACTTCATAGGCACCGGTTGTATATCTCTAAGGGTGAGTGGTTTCCCCATTTTGAAAAAAAACACCTTGATATTCTTGTTATTGTTTCTGTGGTTTGCATTAGAAAAATGTTTTTGTTGTTGCTCCCACCTTTAACTTGTGTTATGTCTCGCATATGGCCATGTGTGTCGTGTTAATGCAGATCTGATGCGTTTAGCTGGTGTATTTAACCTTTTTTAAACTAAGCAATAGTATAATGGATAAGTTATATAAGCATAAGTGAGCATTTGTGCATTTGACAGGCTCTACACAGAATGTGGTTTCCTGTTTAAATTCCTGTAAAATGTGAATGTATGAAACAACGGTATGTGTGTAAAAAACACATAAGAGACAAGCAAATATATTTAGTATAACATATATTATTCACAATACCAGGTTCTCATATATTTAAATACCTTTGGGTTTTATATTTTTCGTAACAAATGATGGTACATTTTCTCTCCTTTTTGTCATTTTATGAACCAAACAATCGATTTTTTAAGAATAAGAGACAGAACTCAAGTTTAAATTATTGTTATGTGTGTAGGAAGATATATTTATTCTTTTAAGGAAGTTAATCATATCTAAAAAAATACAAGAGATACATTTGTAATGATAACCGTGCACATATTATATTTATGACTGTATTTCGTTTTTAAACTGATTTATTAATACTTTAAAATGAAGCTTATTATCAAGTCAACAGAAACATCCAAAGAAGACTTGTTTTTATGTGAATGTGTGTCCCTCTAAAATGTATCAAATGCCACAATTTAATCCTAGGCCGAGATTTCTTGATTTAATGAATGTGGCTCAATAATGACTGGAAGTGTAAATTGTAAAAAGCAATTTTTGACTTACATTTCCTTTGTAAAACACTATGATATTTAAACATGTTTTCTCTAAAAATATCAGAGTCAGCATGCCTGGCCAACTTGTGAAAAATGTGTAAACCTTGTGTCCTTAAACCCCTCCCCCAGATTGTAGATTAAAGGCCCTTTTAGGGAAGAGTGGACACTGTGAAATCAAGGAATTAAAGCTGAGGAACAATTGAATTCATTTCTATGGAAGCAAAGTGTTTAAATTTGATATCACTTCCTCCTCCAGGGAACCATGGCACTGTCCAATCAGACTCCTATAGTTATTAAAGAGTCCAGTTTGTCGGGCTGGGAGGTGATCGGCTCGGGGGGTTTTGGAAAAATCTATAAATGCCGGCATCAGGAGTGGGCCTGCGATGTGGCCATTAAACTGCTTCACTTTGACGACGGGTGAGTAATTAAAGGCCCCCTATTTATATACTGTTTTTCCTCAATACATTATAGGTCTCAGATATATACAAAACATGTCTCTGAAGTGTTTGGCTGAAACACCAAACAGATCATTGCAGCATTACCCATAATCCCCTCTGTTTCAGCCCTGTTTCCAAAGTGCTGATTCTCTGTCTGTTACTTTAGATGAAAATAAGGAGCCCCTCCCCACGCCCCTCTGAGAGATAGTTGGTTACAAAGAACTTAATGGTGCTCTAGAGGAGATTCAGGTGATAAGGGGGGGGGTTACCTTGGTTGGTGATTGGCTAATGGTTACTCAAGACAACACATCGTTATGACATCATAAAGTGGCCAAAATCTGATCAGCTCATTTTCAGACAGGTTTTTATAGAAATGGATCAGGACAAAAAGAGAGAGAATCTTTGCTCCTGAAACTTCTAGAGTCTCTTTCCACAGAGGGGACACATGTTGATGTAGAAGAGACAGGAACAAGTGGATTTTGCAAAATAGGTGACCTTTAAGAGACATGGTCAGTGGCGGACTGGGACTAAAAATCAGCCCGGGAAACTCGACCGACCGGCCAAACTCGGTACCGCTAATCAATTGTCAACGGGGGGGGGGAGGGGTGCTAGTGAATTGTCTGACTGGCCCACTTCGGTACCGGCCCACATCTCCCGGTACTCCCAATGGCCAGTCCGCCCATGGACAATTTTGCAAATGAGCCATTGTCTGACTCTAATCCATTATTTAATCTGCACATTGGATAAAGCCAGGTTTCATTTTTGTTAAAGTCAAAGGCTTTTACGAAGGTGATTTGTATACATTTTCGTGTCACAACGTAACAACCGTACATTTCTTAATTTTTCTCATTTACTTTTGAAAATAATGTTGTATAAATCAGACTATGAAGACCCCTCTGTATAAACTATTAACTAAGGATAGATATTGCAATGAAACTTGAAAGTTTGCACTCGTTTCTGTGGTGGAGATGTCACACTTTAAAGATAACATGTTGTAAAAATGGGATACAATTTGCAAGGAACTACAGGTAAGGGTAAAAAACTAAAATGTGTCACCATGAAACCTCCCCAGTTGATTTCCAAAGGGGCAGTGTGGGCTCCACAGGGTTAACTTTGAGACAATTATCCTTTACTTTTTCTTAAATGTTCAAATTTGCCGATTAAGCATATTCTAAAACTAACTTTTGGAGAATTTACCAGAAATATACAGATGCAAATTCACACATTTTTCTTTCCACTAAAGTCTAAAAAGAGATATGTTATGGAAGACAAATTGTTCCAAACTCTCTAGAAAAAAGTTTGCTGGTGGTGTCTCGCCTTAAAGGTCACCTATTATGCAAAATTCAATTTTTCATGTCTTTTATACAAAAAAGATTCTCTCTCTTTTTGTCCTGATCCATTTATATAAAAACCTGTCTGGAAATGAGCTGGTCAGATTTTGGCCACTTTATGATGTCATAACGATTTGTTGGTTTGAGTGACCATTAGCCAATCACCAACCAAAGTAAGAGACAGAGAATCAGCACTTTTGAAACAGGGCCGAAACAGAGGGGATTATGGGATGCTGCAATTATCTGTTTGGTGTTTCAGCCAATCAGAGACATGTTCTGTATATATCTGAGACCTATAATATATTGATGAAAAACAGTAGGGACCTTTAAATAATATTGCATATTACTAATAATTTCACAAATACGCACACAGGAAAAATGAAAGTTTGCTCCGTGAGATCGAAATGATGCGTCAGGCAAGCAGTCCGCACGTTATTCAGGTCCGAGGGGTCTTTAAAGGATTACCCCCCAACTCAAGGTCAACTCAGCTGGGTCTGGTGATGGAGTACATGGAGAGAGGATCCCTGGCCTCCCTGCAGGTAAACACTGGTGGAAGAAGTACTACCTTTTAGTTTAGTTGAGTGTATTTGTTTATAGTGTCGTGGACAGTCCCCATTGATCAACTGTCACACAAAACAGTAAATGGGGCAGCTTTAGCCAACATTGCTAATTCCCAGCTGTTGTCCCCGGCCAGAAGATAAAGGACAACTTTTTAAAATCACAATACATCGACAGCATTAGTTATAAAGAAACGACGAAAGACAAGTAGATAGAGGAGAAAGGAATAAAAAGGAACGATAAGATGCAAACAACACACGTAACTACATACATGTCACATACTGTATAGCAGATCGGCCTGACCAATCAGAGCGGACTGGGCTCTGGTTTCAGACAGAGGGTGAAAAGAGGTACCGAATACAAATATAGGGCCCCTTTAAGCAACCCTAAAGAGGGCAAATGCTTCACTAAAACGTTTTCAAACCCCTTCTTCTTCAATACCCACTTCATCTTTAGCTTACACATCAAAACAGATGCAATTTGGAAGCTCCAAGCCACAACTCTTATTGTCTTAACAAACCAAAACCTGCGAGTTAAAAAGCTTTAATACAGTAATAAATCGCACTCAGCGATTCAAACCTGCCAACGCTAAAATCCACCAGGAATCATTTCCAGAAAGAAATATGGAGTCTGGAGACGCCAGGCTGTAAAGAGCCACTTCAATACAGAAGATCTGTTTCTCTCTTTAGCCGAGTCATTAGCAAAGACAGCCCTTTATGACCTGTTTATGACTGTGTGTGTGTGTGTGTGTGTGTGTGTGTGTGTGTGTGTGTGTGTGTGTGTGTGTG